TGCTGTCTTTTGACTTAGATAATATGTGAGAAGTTTAACCAAATAATGGCAAATTTAAGGCCTGCAGGTGTTGAGATGTCTAGACAAAGACCGTTTTATCACTAGTTTCTTTAACTAGGTGCCTCTTCTGTGCCATCACTAGTGCTGCTCCCTGCACAGCATATATGATGGCTTTTCCTTTCCATAGACATGCTTTTCATTCTTTTGTAAATGTTGCAGTCATGTTTGTTACAGCATTTGGATTATACCAACTAACACAGGCTCATGCCATCCCTGATGGGATGGGGCATGCCTTATATTCCTTAAGCTTTTCAACAAGAGGAGAGCAGTCAAGCATCAGCATTTTCCAGGCAGCCATGAGTTGCCACAGAGAAACCTATCTTGGCGTATAGCTTCGAGGTCACTTTCCAGTGCTTCCTCAGTACAGTCACTCTGGGACCAGTCCCTTATGCAGTATATCCCTCTGACTGTGGGCTGTAGTAAATGTTCTCATCAAGACAAACTTGTGATTTCTGGGGACAGGGTCATATTTATACTGTGCGTAACAGGCTCTATTTATGTCTTGGTGATTCTTATGCTGACTGCTTAATTGAATGAATCATGATGGTGGTTCAATACACGATGTTATTTTGCCTTTCTGTACATGACAATAAAAAATAAATCAGTTATTCTAATCTGTTAGTGTTATCACTAGTGATTTTCAAGCTGTTGACATTAGAGTTGTGATACCTGTCCATTCCTGGTGTACAGTTTCTGAAAGCTTCTGCACATCCAGAAGCATTTTATGATGGTTTGCATCTCATGCTAGACACTTCCCAGGCTTGCACTGCTGCCATAGTAGGACTGGACTGAAGCCACAGTTGGCTTCAGTACCACTTGCACCTGGCTTAAATAAAGCAGGATGCTGAGCTGTGATGGAGGAAAACCATGGGGCCTATCCACTAGCACATCTTGGCTACCAGCCATGCACAGTGATTGGTAGAAAGTAGGTGCAAGCCACAGGCTATCACTGTCATTTTAAACATTAACACTAGGCTCAGTAGGATGGATTTTCTGTTCTGTGGAGGTGAACACTGAATATCAAGAACCCCTTCTTGTCTCCCATCCATCTCAATACCTTACTTTAAAAAGACTTTTTCTGATAAATTTAGATGGATGGTGGTTGTCTTCACAGCCTGCTGTCACATAGGCCTGAGCTATCAGTAACTGCATATATTAAAAGGAATGTTGCAGAAGCCAGACTCGTGACTCTCAAGACTAGCTGTAACTTTTTTTAGCCTGCTGCTATTAATAGCCTTGAAAAGTGTGTACAGCCCATAGTTCCTATCCTCATATATGGCTTTGATATTTATGCCTCCTACTGTAGTGGTGGGAGAACCATCATAGCCAGCTTGGTGACAGCATGCTAAGTGGCTGCCAGTCCTTGTTTTTAGGGCATTAAAGAGAAGTTCTTCCACTTGAGTATTATCCTATGCTTCATTCAGCATCAAACCCTTCTAACAGCTAGGACGACAAAGGACCCAGGCTACAGAGGCCAACTTAACTAACCACCAACAGTGAATATTCTGTGTATTTTTTAAAAAAGTCCAGTGTTCTCTCTCTTCAGAAGGCCTAGAAGTTAATAACTTCTACTGTGATCAATAATGAACTCCTTGAACATGATAATTACACAGCCCAAAATCACATTATGTACCCTTAGAAAAAAAAATCAAAAACATCTATCTACCACCTACACAGTGAAGAGTCTTCTGGGATCATGAGTTTAAGTGTCTGTAAAATCAAACAATAACTTGTTCTCATCATTAATGTACAGTCTCTAAAAAATCAGAACTCATAAAATCACTACTGAAAAAAATTGTGAATTCATGCAGGTGGAGATAGCCCTATAATTTATATTATCGTAGAGCTCAGCTTTGGAAATCAAAGTGCTATAAAAGGCACGTGAGCATCACTGAGATGGAGGACTGAGACCGTGGTTATGGATTTCACTGACTGGAAAGTTGTACATTTGGTTGCTATCAATGTAAAATAAAAGGAATAAAAGAAGGAAATAAAAGAAGCTCCGATTATATTTTGTTGTGTTATGTTGTCTTACATAAAGCAGAATGGAATGCGATCTAATAATCTCAAGGTAGAGCATCTGATTACATCAGATATGAAGGATTTATATATCTGATTACATCAGATATGAAGGATTATATAGCATATATTTATATTTATATGCTGCTTACAAGCACGAGAAAATGGCTTCCTTCTGAGAAGTTCATCTAGTTGGGCCATGCACGTTTGTGACCATTCATTCTATTGTCTGTATTTCTCCTGCCCTGGATTTCTGTTCAGATGGTACCGTGTAGTGCTGCAATTACACTGATTTAGGTGTTCTTGCCTGACCTTAGACTTTAATAAAGCTACAAGTATTTACTTATGTCTCTCACATAGTTTTGTTTGATACAGAAGTTTGGTTTAGATTAGCACCTTTTATGTCTGAGAAAACATAAATGTTTTAATTCACAGATATAAAATTGGAGAACTATTTTAGTGACTCACAAATCTGACTTTGCAAGGATAATTTACATGCATAATCATTTACATGCATAGCCCATTGGAACTTAGTTCTGAATGTATAGAATCCAACTTTTCTCCCAGACAATAGACAAATTAATTCTTTGTCTATTGAGTTAACTGGACAGCTGACAGTTAAATAACTTTTTAATTTAATGGGATCATTTCAAGATTTCAAGTCTGATCACAGTGAGGAGTGATAAATACTGACATAACTGCATCATGCAATGAAGTCATTCAAACGGCAGCAATGCTCCAAATATATATTTATGTGTGATCTTACTTCCTAATTGGGCCCTCAAGCCCTTCCAGCATAACCACACAAACCCGTACTAATATAAAGCAATTTTTGTCTGTGGCCTACTACCATATAGAAAAAATTGATAAACAGGAAATACACTGTAATATTTTTGTCCTTTCCTCTGTCCCAGGGCTAGACTCTGAAAATTGTCCATCTTTTCTTTCTGGTTACTTTTGGCACCATATACCTTCAGGAGGGCATTCATCAATAATCTTGCTTTTCCTCTTTTTCTGCTACTCCATATATAAAGAACATTGGCAGCCATGGTGCTCAGTGGGGAGGCAGATACACCATGTCACATCAACTACTGTTTCACTGGCAGCAAAAACATGGGCAAAAAATGACTGGAGTGGCTAGAACAAGCCAGAGAAAGACAAGCAGTGTGGCTGCCAATGGAACACCTCTCCTACAAGGACAGGCTGAGAGCTGGGGCTGTTCGGCCTGGAGAAGAGAAGGCTCTGGGAAGACAAGAAAGCATCCTTTCAGTATATAAAGAGGGGCTGTAAGAAAGAAGGGAACAGATTCTTAAGCAGGGTCTGTTGTGACAGAGCAAGGGGAAATGGGTTCAAACTAAATTAGATTGGATATAAGGAGGAAGTTTTTACAATAAGGGTGTGAAGCACTGGCACAGAGGGGTGCCCAGACAGGTGGTGGATGCTTTGTAGGCACTCACAGTCAGGTTTGGTGGGGCTCAGCACAGGAGAGTTAGACTCAATGGCCTTTAAAGGTCCATTCCAGATCAAATGGGTCTGTGCTATCCTGCCCTGTCACTGCACTGACAGATTTAAGACACCACTCACAGTCAGTAGTGTTGTCTGCAACAAACAGAACAAGAAGCACACCAGAGCATGGATTCAGAATATCTCAAACTGCTGCACATAACAGATTTATTTCAGTGCTACTGGTTACCCAACGCATGTAAAAAACTTGATGAATGCAGAGCCAACCTGAAAGAAGCAATCGAGATTAAGAGAGCTTGGCAACAATCAAGATGCAGGAAGATTGTGACTTTGGTTACAGTTGGTTCTTCTGTCTTTTCAAGAAGCCAGCATTCCTAGGACTTCACTCCAGATTATTCACTGGAGAAACTCTAACATACTAAGTTGCTTCCTGCAGTGGGAACATGACTAATTGCTGAGTGGAGTTCCCTGGTTTCACCAGTTGTGCTGTGCACAACTCAGCTTCTTAGAGAAGCTACCTGGAATCCATGATGGCTTCTCTCCGTACCTCTTTTGCTGTAGAACAAGAAGCATGCAAGACTTGAAACAGAAAGGTAATCTCAGTCTTTTGAATGCCTTCCCTGGGAGATGGATCGTCTTAGGCCTTCTGAACACAGACATTATACTCTGGAAACTCAGATTTCTTTTGCAAATGGTGACCACCTTATTTTGCCACCCTGCTAAAGAACTCACACTAGCCTCTGGTGTGAAATCATACTGATGTTCCTTTGTCTCTGCTTCCAGAGTTTTTCCCTTATTTCCCTTATTTGATTGTTGTGTGTTAGTTGAGGTTTTTTGGGGGGGGCGTGGCAGGGCTGGGGAGGAGAGGGTCGAGTGGAAGGAGTTGCTTAAGTACAACAAAGCCCACTGCCAATTACAGTTTTGAGCACTACATTGCTAATCAGCAACAACTTTCTTCAGTAAGACAGAGGTGAGTAATAAGCCTTAATAATGTTTCTGCTAATAATTAACTTGCATTTTAGCATTTGTACCCAATTTACAAGCTACTTTTAATGATTGAGTAACTTCTTATAAGCAGTCCAAGTCATTCCACTTTTCATAACGCTTTTACTACCTACACATTCTGTGGAGCTGAAGGAATCTTTTCAGCCTGATTTCAGTATTTACAGCAATCTAAGACATAGCTTCCAGCAGAACTGGGCTAACACTGCTTATACACTGAGTGCTAAATTCATGAAGTCCTTTAAGTAGTATGAATACTTCTGTATGAAATCTGCTTTCAATATTCTAAGTCCATCTTTATTTAAAGCTTTTCTTTGTGTACTTTTAATTGTGAATTTGAAAATGGCTGCAGGTGTAGCAGAGCTGTTATTTTTGTGGCTGTCCAATTTCACAAGCCACAAGAACATCCTACAGCAACAGGGGAAAACAAAGGTGAGCATGTTTGCACCAATGCTACTTTTATTGGAGAGAGCATCTGAGCGTGTTTATAAGGGTTTGCTTTTGCAGTTCAGTCTCATGGAAAGTCTCTTGCTTTGTATGTGTATTTCTCAGTTTTCTTCTTTTCAAGTTTCAGCTTTGTGTTCTGTATTTGTTTGAGCAGCTCCAGAGACTCGTGAATGGATTGAAATCCTGGTAGAAAAATAACAACAATTAATTAAATTGTGGTTGTTTTTAATACTAAGAGATTCTTCTTTTTTTTTTTCCTCAAATACTTCTGACCCACATGTAAATCAGAGCACATTAAACCTAATCTATTTATTTCTTCTTTTCACTGAATACCATAAACATGAAATATCAGCTTATGTTGCCAACTCCTTGCTGTAGGAGTCATATCTTCCAATGCACTGGACGGGCAGGAATCTCAAGAGCCCCCACTAAAAACTGGAATCTTTTATTCTGAAATTTATTATCCCAGCATTCTTCTGCTTTCAGTCCTTCGTGCCTCAAGCTCCTTCCTGTATGAAGGTTGTTGCTAATTCAGAACTTCATTTGTTAATATCTCTGGAGTAGACCTTGTGGGTTGCAAATAATGAAGGAATTGGAATTGAAGTAAGTAGCTGTGGTCCTAGACCTAGAAGATGAGAATGTATCAGATGTGAAGAACTTGTGTAGTGTTTTCAGCCATCTGTTCCCTTGGAATGTTGGCTGAGTGATCTTTTTGCATTAACTAGTGTTTCCATTTTGTTTCCATTATCAGCTGCAAGTTGGGCAATAGCATACTTTACAGTGAGCAAAATCGTCCTTTCCAAAGCGTTGTGCTTTGTGCAAGATGAATTGCTGTTGGTAGTTGAACAGCCAGAATTGGCTCAGGCTGTTAATGAGTCCATGCTCTGGGAATTACGCTCAGCCTGATTGTACCCATAAGAAGCATCTAGTGTGTGTTCAGCAATGTTATCTAAATGCTTCTGTATTCATCTATCCTATGGTCTGGGTAGGGTAGCTATTTAACAACTAGGTGCCTCTTTCTCAATCTCCTGTTAGTGGAGAATGGGGAATAAAGGCTGTAAAAAATATAAAGCAATCAAACATGATCAGCAGGACCTGAGGCAAAAGGCAAAAATGTTCACCTCTCAATTCCGGTTAGTGACCTTGTGAGCAGAAGAAAGATGTACTCAGAGAAATTTGGAAAGTGGATTGTGAAATTGCCCTTTAGATCATCTTACCATCAGACCCTTAGGAAGAGAAAGCAATCTGTGTGTGAATATGCTGTTGGTGCTGGTAAGGACAGATGGGCTAACCCAGATGCCTAGAAATGACACCTGTGAAACCAAAGTGTGGAAGAGAGGAACAGTCTTGTGAAGGTACTTGTCTCATTACTGGAAAATATTTTCTGCAGCAGTAATTTACTGTACAAATATACTGACAGATAATTGCATGAAATTCTCACCTGATCTGTATTCATTCTGGATTTCCTCAAGCTCCTTCCAAATCTGTCTTTCAAACCTGGTGATTCTTGCATGCAGATTTTTTTCATCACTCTTCATTTGGTTCAACTGCCTTTTGTATTTCTCTGGGTTACCTGATTGCTCTAGCTGTAGTGACAGAAGTAGAAGCTTCTCTTCTATTTTCTTTTCTGCTGCTTCCTTTAAAAACATGGCAGAAAGTAATGGTAAACTTTAAATATGCTTTAAATATGCCCACCATTATACTCCATCCTAGCAACCCTGAAATTAATCAGTTATGCTTCCCAATCCCAAGAATAAGAGCACTGCAGAAATGCAGTTAGGTCTGGTACCGTGGAGGGGTGTCAATCCTCTTTTCTTCAACTAACTGGATTAACTGGTGAAGAGGCTGGGGCAGGCCAGAGGGGCTTTCTTTTATTATTTATTATTTTTATCATTTATTTTAACTCCAGTTGTTCTCTCTGTTGCATTCTCTCTAACAACAGCCTGGGAATTTAAACAACTTATTTCAGGCTGCTTTCATGCACTTACCTCAAACACAAGTTTATGAGCCAAGGGGAGAAGAAATGAGGGGTGTACCCAGCTGCCCATCAGTATGGGCAGCGAGCCCCTAACAGCTTCTCTTTGGAGCCCAGTGTCACTCCTAAGGGTCACTGCACCTCCTCAGGGATGTGGCTCCTCATGGCTCATATCCAAGCCATGCTGCTGCCCATTCCTTTCTTGCTCTCCAAGTTGCACAGAGTCCTCTGCTAAGATCCTAGTTTGATCATCAACATGTTCAAAATCCCTCACCTTCTGCAGTCCCAGTGGCACAGAGAATTCAGGCAATGCTGGGGTCTGTCTCTCGGGGAAAATATTTTGCAAACCTGACAGAGTTTTTTGAGCCTAAACTGAGATTATGGTGATGCTGGAAAGGCATTCTGTGTTTACAAACATTGTCATGCTGTGCAGGTGGCTGGTGGAGTGAGTCAGCTCCAGGAATAACCAAACTGCTGCTTCGTACTCCCAACACAGCTCCAGCTTCAGCACAGAACACATCCACCAGCCCTCTTATCCATCTGACTTCAGCCATGTCAAAAAGGTGACCAACAGGACCTTTAACAGATTTTTTACATGGTCTGATAGTGATAGGACAGTGGGAATGGTTTTATACTAAAAGAGGGGAGATTTAGGTTAGATCTTAGGAGGATGCTCTTCACTCAGGGGGCGGTGAGCCCCTGGCACAGCTGCCCAGGGAAGCTGTGGTGCCCCATCCCTGGAGGCGAGGTTGGATGGGGCCCTGGGCAGCTGAGCTGGTGGGGAGCAGCCCTGCCCAGGGTACAGTTTGGGGCTGGATGGGCTTTGAGGGCCCTTCCAACTCAAACCATTCTGCAATCCTATGTTTCATCCTGAAAACAGCTGGCTGTGCTGCTAAGGCCCATGTCTGAGCAGGGTCGGTGTACTCCAAATGGGTTTCACTTCACATTGCTCCCATCTCCAACAGAGTGTTGAAGTTTACCTCAGCCCTCAGGTGCTGAGCTGTGTTTTCCCTGAGAAGACACCCACCTGTTGTAGGGAACTGCTTTAGCATGAATGATCTCTGGAGGTCCCTTCCAACCCATTCTGTGATTCTGTGACACCAGTAGCCCTGTGCACACTTGTATGCGTATACACAAGAATAAAGGCACACCTGATAACTTAATCTATTAGAAGGCTACTTACAGCTCTTTAAGTCCTGTTAAAGTTGCACTGCTTGACACTGACCCAAGAAGAGCTTAACTACGTATTTTGGTTTGTTTTCTCAAAAATAATCACAAACCCTGCAGTAGCAGGGTAGCTGTGAGACAATGCCTGAGGGGTCAGAAACACTTTTGTACCTGCCTGGTTGCACCAAATGTTTGGTATTGACAACTAGAGACTGTGAAGCAGAATAAGAGGAAATTAAAGTTCTATTGTGTTTTAGTTCCCTTTTGAGTAATTTTTCTGTGTGGTTTTGTTTAGCAGTCTTCATTCTGGTTGTAAGGCTTGGCAGGTGTGTTTCAATTGGTTTTGAACTCTGAATCTGAGTGACCTACATGCAGCAAAGGGGGAAAAGCTTTTAGAGTTGTGAAGGAATTGATTAAAAGATACTGGCCCTGTGCCAAGCACTGACTGCTGCAATGGAATCTAAGCTCACTGCGTATTAATATACCAACCACAATAAGGTGATGGCATGTCTACATTTAAAACCAGTAAGAATTTGCATTGAAGATTCCTCACTATTCTGAGCCTGTCAATGAATGAAAAAAAAAAGCCCTTATGATGACCCATCAGTGATGGCACTGATGCTCATTCTGGGACAGGTCACCACTGTTGGGTAAACTGGGGTTTCACAAATACTCAGTTCGTATTGGTTGCCCGGAGGGTTGTGGGATCTCCATCCTCAGAAGCACTTAAAAGTCACCTGGAGGAGACCAGCCACCTGCCTTTGTCGCTGGTCCTGTTCGAGTGAGGAGCTGTATCCCTGGACTTCCAGATACTCCTTTGAAATAAATTATTCTACAGTCATATGTTTTTCATAATTCGATTGGCCATCCCACAAGGCACCAGAGCAATTCCATTTTTGTGTGCAATCTCATGGTGTCTGTAACTTGCTGTGTGGGAAGCCTCACCAGCCTTTCCTTCATTGCACTGAGCTGCTGGTGCTGGTACTGGGCTCGATCTTCAGATTGTGTCAGCTGCGCCTCCGTCCACTTCCGCTGATTCTGAATCTGATCTTTGAAGTCATTTAGAATGCTTGTCAACCTGAAATTAAGATAGGGTTTTTTTAGTAACAAGACTTAAGCTTTAGTCAGCATTGTGGGGGAGTCTTGAGTCATTACACTAAATTATTTAAGTTACTTCGGATCTCCTCAGTAGTTTCCTAAGGAGACCAAGCTCCATTATTTTATTAATCCTTATCTTGAGACTGCATATACATGACAAAATGTGATTTCTCTAGTGCAATCTAATTTGAGAAAATACCCGAGGGCTAAAAAATGCTGTTTTGCAATTGGAATTATCTTTGTTTAAAGTGAATGAAGAAGCTACACTATCCCATTGAACATCAGCTGTGCTGCTGGACATTACTGTGGGCACCAGAATCACCTGCAGTTTGAAAAAGCTCATAAGGATGAAAGAGATTTTTACGTAATGGTTTACAAATGCAGAGAAAACATGCATGTTCTTATAAAGCACCAGCTGGACAGAAATGTGAAAGCCCTCCCTGGAGACACAAAAGGACAGTAGCTAAAAGGATGCCACACAGTCTGAACTTGCAAACTCCTGAGCTGGAGAGCAGCGTGCTTGCTTTTCTTATGGTGCAGCAGGTAATTGATAATATGAGCCATGAAGAGACATAAGCATATGTCCAATTCTAGTCACACATTTAAATTTCCATTCTCATGCAGGTTGCCAGACTTCCACAGAAAATTTGAGTGTAACTGTATCAATTCCTAAGGCATACTTGAATGCAAAGAGTTTGGTTCTCAGCCAGCTTACAAACCAGCAAGGAAGGAGCAGGGTTTTATAACTACATGCTTAAAGCACTTGTAACACTTATGTCACTTTCCAAAAGAATGTCTGAGAGAAACTGTTTTTTAAAACCAAGTGATTCATAACAATTTTGTATCTGCCTAATGAAGTGATAATTGCCATCTAATGTAATGTAATTACTAATGTAATGTGAGAAACAAATTAACATTAACAGAATTTCTGTCAGTGACATATTAGTGCTGTTTGCTTACTGTAGACAGTGCCTTACCAAGGCACTGTATGGCTGTGAGGTCAGTTTATCATTATTACTCATTTTACTAGTTCTAGGATTATTTTAACAATAACACGGGTTTGGGGCTAGGTGAGCTTTGAGATTCCTTCCAACCCAAGCCACTCTGTGATTCTGTGAATTACTATCCCTTCTGCAAGGACCTAACAAAAAAGAGATCTGTAGTGAGCCGGGCTGCAGAGAGAGATGAGTTGCCATAGTCTTGGTCCAGATAGTCCCTGAAATATTAATGACATACTTGTGGCTATTTAATAAGTGCATCCTCTAAGTAGTGCTGCGATAAACGTGCGAGCAGAACTATTGACAAGTGATCTGCCTCTGTGCAGTTGAACACAGCCCTTTGTCAGCTAACCGGCCCTGAGAGAACAAGTACCCAGTCCCCCACCTGTGAAGGCCAATGCTATCTAGCAAAGCAATACTTCCTCTGAAGTCCTGAAGTAGTTTAAAAATTCATCAGGTTTTCAGTAACTGTATATAGAAGTATCAGTTTGCACTTTCACAATACAACTGCCAGATCAGAAAAACTGCTGGTTACCAGACAGTTTCATGCCATTTGAAGAGGTAACTGGGCTTTAAAACCAAATTAAACATGCTAGTTCATAAGCAGAAACTCCAGTCTGTCCTACCAAAAGAAGTTACATTTTGCTTCACATTAAAAGACACAGTTCTGGTGCATCTCAAAGCCTTGGAAGCCTCCTATTTCTATTGGAAGTTTCAGTAAGGCCTAATTGACTTATGAGAAACTCAGCATTTTCTTAAATTGTAATATTTCCCTCTTTTCTGGCATTTTTCCTTTCTTTTTTTTCCTCTTTTATTTTGGTATTTGGGGGGTTGGACTTGATGATCTCTGGAGGTCCCTTCCAACCCCTAAAATTCTGTGATTCTTGTTAATCTCACATTATTCTCTTCATCCTTTACTCTCTGTCTTTCTGTAACTCCTTTTTTCCTCACTTTAATTCATTCCCCTTTTTAGTTGTTATTTCAGTATTCATCCCTACTCCTTTTCTTGTTTTCTTGATGTGAATATTTTCTGTTTAAATAGCATATTTTTAACTCTGAATGCAATTCAGATAAATTTAATTCAAATACTCCAACATGTTAAGAAGTGGAAATGCTGCCTTTGAAATATTGTTGCAGTATTAATATAATTAGATTTCAAATTACTTGTGCTGGCTCTGCTGTTTAATGCTTGGCTGTTTAGCATTGTTCTGCATATGGATGCCACACACCTTAATTCACTGTGTAATCACTGGAGCTCCTACCTCTGTAAAACTCATCAAGATTAAAAGGATGCTCTAAAAGTACTTTTGCATCCAGAGTAGGAGAAATATTGGTTGGAGAAAGAAACAATAAATTACAAATCCAAGGACATGTGAAACAGTACAGCTTCACTCCTCAGCTCCATTCCTGTCCTGCCCCTGCCCACCTCCCTCAACCAGCACTTCCCCATTCCAGCTCTCTCCCTACTGAACAGACAGAGCAAACCTTTCAAGAAAATGTCACCTGCACCTTAGGCAAGTCAAAAGTTAGACTCAATTACAGTGGTAAATAGTACCTTTCTACTCATGCCTTTCTTTTAGCTATGGAAGGGTAATTGCTTTTGTACCTTCCTACAGGATGGTATTTTGTGCCTCATTTTAACAACTAGCTTATAAGACAACATATTTTCATCACGTATTTTCATTATTTTATAGAATGGATCTTCATTAACCTTTTCTTTATGTTTTGAATAGATGTTAACTAATGGGTTTGTTTGGCTGTTTCATTACAACCTGTTCATCATACTGAAGTATCCAAGGTGAATTATCATAATGAAAACCCTTCATCACCTACTTGAAATCCAGAAGTTGCAATTCGTGATGTTGATCTCCCTGGACTGTCTTTAAATTTGAGCTTTGATCAGAGTTGGAAGTCTCTATCTTGCCTAATAGCTGCATTGCCTAATGAGAATTAACAGAGAATGCCTTTATGAGCCAGAAGGTGAGCACTTATCTTTAAATATGTATTATGATTGCAAGAGTGAAAAAAACAACTGCCTCAAAGGTACAACATTGAATTTCTCTCACAAATGATTTCATTCAGCAAGGACTTGAGCTCAGGGTCACTCAGACTATAAGAGCCACTTAGTGAAAGTTTTTTTGGACACAAGTTTTGTAACTAAATTCACAGATAATGAAGACTTTATTTCAAGACATTGTGCACAACTAAAACTTCCCTGAAGATGTTAGAACCCAAGGGGTAATATTCCTTGACAGAAAATGTTCATCAAACACCTGTTGGACTCCCAGCACCAGTGAAAGGAGGACACAGTTACTCACAGATCAACCCCTCGTCTGCTCCATCCATGCTGAAATGAACATACAGGCTCTCTAGCCTGGGTTCCTGCACTCTGAGGCATTTTTGGCTGGAGCTGTCGTATTCTATGTGGCCATTCCCTTTAGGGGAGCAGGATGAGAGAGTGCCTCAGGAACCAGGGCTGTGGTTTCTGGATCCTCAGGCAAACCATAAAATTATAGAATCATCAAATCAATTCAGTTGGAAAGTGCGCTTAAGCTTCATCCAGTCCAATTCCCTTACAATGAACAGAGAGACCTACAGCTTGAGCAGGTGCTCAGAGCCTGCTCTAGCCTGACCTTAACTGTCTCCAGGGACAGGGCATCCACCACATCTCTGGGTGACCTGTGGCAGTGCCCCACCAACCTTACTGTAAAAAACTTCTTTATTTCCAATCTGAATCTCCCCTCTTTTAGTTTGAACCCATTTTGCCTTTTCCTATCACAACGGATCCTGCTAAAGTGCCTGTCCCCTTCATTTGTATAGCCCCCCTTTAGTACTGAAAGACTGCCCTGGTAAGAAAATGCCTTCATCTGGTTGATAGCTATGGCACATGTATGTCAACAGGGAGCAGCTAAAGGCTCATTACATAGTTTTGATAGCTGAATACACATACACAAAAAAAGCTTCATTTTGGAAATTCTCATTTGCTTCTTTGCCAGAAATGCAATAGTGTAGTTTTCCCCTCCTTACCTGAGAAACTTTGTTCTGCTTCCTGCTTCATATCTATGACAGCTTTTTTTTACCTGCTACTGTTTCAAATGACCTGACGCACCTTCATTTCCCATTCTCAGGCAAAGAGGAACATCTTCATAGGAATTGAAGAAGACAGGTGTCCAAATAGTGTCTTATAGCAGAACTCCAGGTAAAATACTTTCATTTGAATTGTCATGAATAATTTTTCTTTGTAGGAGAGGATATCTGGGTACAAAATGACTGGAACTCTGCCTTGTGCAGCAGAAGATTCAATTAAAATGTGCTGATGAGTTTTTAATTGATATCAAGTATAGGAGAAGGTGAATGTCCCATATCTCCTCCCAAGCTCAATTGTAATGCATGCAGACAACACCCAGTTTGAATCAGGAGCAGAAAGCTGTCTTGCTGCAGGTTTACAAACCAAACATATCAGTAGGCTGTACTTGTGAATCATTGCTAATGCTCTTGAACCTGTGTAAGGTTCTAAAACAGCTACTGAACACAATGAACCTCTCACAAGACCAGCAATAAGGAATCATAAGCAGTAACAGTTGTTATTTGTTGTTTCTCTCTATGGAAAGAAAAAAAAAAAAAAAAAAAAGAGAGAGAAAATACCATTTTCCAGAATATTTTCAGTGCTACAGTTTCAAATATTTTTGAAATATTGCCGGCTTTCATAGGATGTGCTACTAGATGTCTCCTTGCAACCACCTTAAAATTGAAGAAAAAAGAGTGGATGTATAAACTATTTTTCAGCTCCAGAATTAATGTAACTGAATTTTCCAGATGCACTAAAGGCAGAATTGTGCTTTTATTTAAGGGTCTTTTAAACCATACTGAGAAAACAACTGTGATGGATCATTCACAATCTTAGTATTGCCAATACTTTGTTAACTGTTTTTAGACTACATCTATTAGAAAGGCCACTACCATTCTACACCATCAAAGAAAACTTAATTTTTATTTAAAAAAATCCTGAGATGTTTTATAAATGGTGTATCCATCATTAATGTTGATCAGCACATAGGAGAGTAAGCACTCTGTGTGTGCCTTATCATCACTCATCAGGTATTGCGAATTTCTGTACTCACCATCTTCTCAAAACTGCCAGTATGATTTTTGAGGATAGAGCGAAGGCTGTAGATCTCCTTATTGATGTTCTGGACCTCATGCCTGATAACACGGATGTCTCCTGATAGCTGTGCAATACTTGCCTCACATCTGCAAAAGAACCAGAGATGAGAGAACTTCTGCATGGACATATATAAGGGTGGAGCTGAAGGTGAGGAAGTGGAAGGTGCTCAGCATTTGACCAGCAATCCCTTAGCTGCAGTGACAAAACATTTGGTGTCCATACATTGCAAACCTCCTTGTGGCTCCTATCGGTTTGAGATGACCTGAAACAGTTCACAGCTCTGTGACCCTGCTGGGCCATTTCCTACTCAGTTTCCTGCTGTCTAATCTTAAGGTGAGCTAATTTAAATCTCAAATGCAAATTGAGAGGTTACTCAGCCATTCCAGCTGCCTGCAGTTTTTGGATGCCTATCCAGAGTGTAGGAGAGCCCAGACGGCAGCATCCTCTGGCTGGAAGCAGATGTGGAGGATGATCAGGTTTGGAATGGCAACAGGCAAAAAAAAATACGATGTTTTATAGGGAGCACTTGTCATTTTCTATTTAAACTCTCTCAGTTGCATTCACTAAAATATCTTGTCACATTTCAAATGGGCAAAGAGATTATATGAGAATGATGGCATTAATTGAATAATATTTAACCAGCTTACCTCCAGGTAATATATGCATCCAATTTCTTCCTGTCTTTACTGTACCTATACACAGTGTGTAATATATGTGTATACATTTACATAAACACATTTATTTTTTTTTCCACAGGAGGAAGATGATTTTAGTGTATATGTAAATATTTGTATAACATCATAAATACATCCAACATGAGCTAGAAGACAGAGACTTCTGCTCCTGCACCCTTCCCTGAAGAGTGGAGGATGACAGAGAATTACCTCCACATCTGCCTCTCAGGAGTAACCACCTACTCCCATCAAAGGCACTTGAAACAATATTGAGGAAACAACTATCTTACCTTGTGCAGTGTGTGCACAGCATAAAGCACTGCAGCATTTAGTATACATAGTAGATTAGAAGTTGAGTAAAGAAAACAGATGAGTTTTAAAATGCCAGAGAAATTATCTTCCAAAGCACTAAAGGCTAGAGCCAGTGCTGTTGTCAGACAAAGGAACTGAAGAGAGGCTGTGACAGTTTAAATAGACCAGCCTTTTGTCATCTCTTGATAATGCAGAAATATTGAGATACACCTACAGAGCATTCACATCAGGGAAATGAAAAAATTTTCTGCAGATAATAGAGGCTTCGTGCAAAGGCCAGTACATTGATTAAAAAAAAAAAAAAAAAAGCTATATATTTTATTCATCTGGAAAACAAATTACAAAATAGCTCAAAAGGCGAACACAGCTCTTAAGAGGGCAAGGGGTGTGAGGTGGTGCCTGCTGCAAAGCTTTTACCAGTCAAACCTCAAACACCAGCATGGAGCTGGCAAGGGATGATGCTCCAGGGGCTGCGAGCTTCATGGGGATAAGGGACACCTAGCACTATACTGGGATGGAAGAGCTCATTTGTATGTAACAGCAATGAGTCTGTGGCCAAGATGGGGTATGGGGTGACAGCAGCCTCTCCACAGCCGGAGCAGTGGGGATGCTCTCAGAGGTGTGCGTCATGGATCATATGTACCTACACACAGTACTGGTGCTTTGTGCAGCGTAGAATGGTTGCAGTTCGAAAGACTTAGTCCTGAAGAGAATGGACTTGTGACTTTTAAAATCCTGCACCAAATCAGTATTTGATGTAGGAGATTCTCAGCAGACTGTGGTGAGATCATTGTTGTTCAGTCACATACATAGAATCTGGGAGTAAGAGACAAATAGCAAGATGGATATGGAAATGTGCAGGAAGTATGATCCTTGTTAGATATGCATATAAATTACATAGCAAAAAGAAATAGCCTCTAAGGATTATACAGGAGGATTTAATTATTACCCTATAAAGACATGGAAAGAGCATATATTCAACAAAGGACTACTTAATTTAGCAAAGTTTGCATATTCTGAAGGGTGGAATAACTTCATGGGCATGCATCACCGGCTTTGGTAGTCTAGTACTACACTGGATTTTTCCTTTGAGCAACAACAAAAAAAAAAATCTCAAGAAAAAAAATTGTAATGCAGACATCTGTGTAAAGTGCAATGATTATTCAGTCTTCTTGTCGGTGCGTATGAAGAGACAGGTCAATATTTATGAAAAGTATTGTTTCTTCTTACAGTTGATTACCTAAATTTTAGTACTCTAAAATCATAGAATCATAGAATCATAGAATCACAAGGTTGGAAACAATCTATAAGATCATCCAGTCCAACCGTCTCCTCATCACCATTGCCACCGCTAGCACTAAGCCATATCATGCAGCACGTCATTCAGACGCCTCTTGAACACTGCCAGGGATGGCAACTCCACCACCTCCCTGGGCAGGCCATAAATATGGATCCCAAGCCCAAAAGAATTCTTGCTTCAATTTATTTTAAGAATTAGAACACTAATCTAAAATACTGCTAATTTTAGACACTGGCTGCTGATGTTGAAGGCTGTTTTTACTGTCACTGCTATTTGAAACACAAATGTTTGTGTGGTATAGATATGGGGTCAAAAGGTCCCAGAATTAATGGGTGTCCACGCCTGTATTCAACAAGAGTGCTCTGTATTTCAGGGGAAGACACAGCGACAGAAAAGAAAGACACAAATTGAATTACAAGAGTTAATCCACATTAATCCTTCACACAGGGCAGAATATAGGAGGATGAATCATCTGCTCTGAGAAAGAGCAGAGCACCATTAAGGTTTACTTCAATCTTCAATTGAGGTCATGCTGCAAGTCAACAGCAAAACTTTCATTGCAAGTTTGCACTGGGAAGATTTCTATTCACTCAAAATATGTAAATTATATGAACTCCTGAGTTTATCTCCAGCTACTTTGGGCCATACTTTACACAGCTTTGAGCTGAGACTCAAGGTCAAAAGAATATGAGGAAGCAAGCATTAATCATCTCTGTTGTAATGATCCTGCTGGTCAGTTCCGGCCCACTTCAGGGCACTGTGCTGAGGACATTTTTGCCAGTGAGAGAAATGAGAATGTGCTGAAAAATCATGAATCACACCAAACTGGACTATGCTTCAGTGTGCGCTGTCATGGGTGCCTGACCTCCACTATTCTGCGTGGATTTTCATTGTGTATATGGAAGTGGATAGGACTTTTTTTTTTAACCCTCAGCATTTTCTTATCCGTTTTCTGCTTTCCCCAGTGTGTTTGGTTTCCTTTGCTGCAGGCCAATGCTCCAGTACAGCAAATGGGAACAAGACTTACTGCAGCTGACAAAAGTGAGCTGTATGCCTGGAGAAACACTGGGAAAAAATAACAGGACACATTGCCCATTAAACGTTATGACTTTGCAGAAAGCATGTCATCTGGAAATTCTGCCCATACAAATTTGAGAACACCAAGAGAAAAATGTATTGTATGATCACCTCTTGCGTTCTTTCAATGCTGATCAGCTGCAAGATTTAAAAAATGTATCTTTCTCCTGCCAAGTTTAAATGTACTGGCTTCACCATCTAGTTTTGAATTCTTGGACTTTTCTTCAGTAGTTTGGAGTCCTTCAGTACACTGTGATTTTCTTTATCTGCCTCTCTCTCAGTACCTATACCTGGAAGTGAAGAAATCTCAGGATATTTTTTTTTAGAAGCTATACATAGACGCGTACTTCTCTCAGCCAGAAATTTTCCTCATCTCATCACCACATTCCTGGCTGTTCTAACAACATATCAAGCTTTTCACTTCAGAAAGGGAATTCTGGACTCAGTTCAGTATTCTGAACTGAGAATGGAGCTACCTGGTCCCTGTTCACCAGTCCTCCACAGTTCTGGTCCAGTCTTAGCATTTCTGATACTGTGTATTTGTGAGAGCCCACTGTCAGTTATTCATCTACCATATTCCCTACATTTTTCCTAGAGAATTCAGAAACAGAGCAGTTCCTCACGGGGGTTATAAAGAACTTCTTTTCAGTGGCCCAAGTACATTCTTTCACAACACCAATCATATTTTCGTTATCCACAGATATCAATAGCAATAATTTTATATGGAAAACATAAGACTGGCCTCCAGAGAAAAACAAACAAGGAAACATCGGAAGCAGGCCAGTTCAAGGAGTTTTTTCCTTAAAGACTACTTTTTTTCAGTGTACTGATCAGTTCAGACATTTCTTAATCCAAATACTCTCTTGATATATAACACATCAGAGTTTCATTTCTTCTTTAAATCATAACATTAGCTGTTTATAAATGCCTCACAGAAGTTCATTATCAAAGGAAGAAATCATGTTTGTTCTTTCCATTTTCCAAGAGAGGAGGTGAAGAACAACAGGACAGCTTAAGCTACTTCAGCTGAAGTCAGTCCAGACTGGGAAACAAAAGAATTTAAGTATGTTGTGAAGAACAAGACAGGGAAAAAAAGGTATTTTTTCCTGGTTTGATTAACATATAGAATGCAAAGCACAGATCTATCACAAAAAAATGGAGATATAAAATGAGTGCAAAGTATGTTTGTGCCACCTCTGAGCTTGCTTTGCCTAAATTGGAAAAGAGGGCCATCATATATTCCTTACCTCACCACTCTTCCACGCAGGTCTCCAAGACTCTGGATATATTTATGGTCCAGACTTTGAATAGCAAAATTGGTTTGCACTGTGCAACCATCTCTTGTTCTCATTTGTCTCTCCAAAACCTGTGAATTCAAAATATTTAATGCGGTGTTGGTTTCCCACATTATTTATTTATATTGTTCAAAAAAATGAGTTGAAGCACCATTTTCAGAATAAGGCCCAAACGCTTATTTTACTCTCAAGGAAGAAGTAAAAAGGAAGAAAAAATTTTTCTTTCAGAAATCTACACCTGTATAAATCAGGGCTCAATGCCAGATAGTGTAGGGCTTTGGGCAGCCTATGCTAGTAGGAGATCTCCCTGCCCGTGGCAAGGGAGTTGGATTAAATTGGTTTTTAGGGTCTTCTCCAATACAACTCCATGGTGCTGTGAAATTATGTGTCTACTTCTCCCTTAAGATTGTGCTTTATGTTGAAAAGTCCAGCTTTCAAAAACAGGGAAATGTTACATCCACCTAATCCCAAACTGGCATGAGTGTCAGTATGAGCTAGTCAATATCTTCTTTTGCTCTTTTTGTCTGTTTTATTGCACAGTAATAACTGTCTGATCTAAAGACAGAAGGAGCAACCACCCTGAAGGCTTTTTGGCAGTGGCCCATGCTGATCATATCTGTATGTGTCACAATAATTAATTTTAGGAAGCTTTTTGGAGCTACCATGACCTTTTACAGACACAAAGCTGAGAGAGGGAGAGATATTCCAGATGCCCCAGCTTTAGGACTAGGGTTGAGAGCAAAGGCCCTGAGCTGACATTAAAGTGTTGCCACAGCAACATGGCTGGAGAAAAGATGAGAGGCACTTCTCACCTCTGCAACTAAACTTCTAACACAGATGTCTCCATCATGCAATTTGAAGTCTCTTCATAGAATCATGGATAGGGAATTAATCAGGGTTGTAGCACTACTTGTGTTGAGATTGTTAGTTCAGCTTATGCAGTTTTGCAACTGCGTCAGAGTTTCATCATCTGCACCTTCACTCCCTGGAGAGTCTTTCCCAGAACAAAGTGTTCTTTTTAGGGCATTCTTCATGTTCTCAGAGTATGGAAGCCACATTTCTAGGTGAATCCCTTTGTTCTTTTTAAAATGCTTTAAAATGATCATTGCTCAACTGCTCTAATTCACTGCGTGCCAGGAGCAGTTCTCCAAACTGTATTCTCTGATGTCTCTCACTGTGCTGCTTTGCATGCTGTTGGTCATTCACCTCAGAAATCCTCACAGCCATAGCATAAGTGAGCAAACACTTGAGACTAGGACACAAAGTAGTCATTTACCACCAAGGAAAAAGTTTGGGCTTAGAAAACTCACAGCATCTTGGGCATTTTTCTAGTAAAATAATCCTGATTTCAGGTGAGTCACTATTTCAAATTTGTTATAATAAACACATAGAATCTATAGTATTTCCCCAGTAACATAAGAAGCAAAATTTTGAATTTACTGGCATTTGGAAGACATTCAGCACATGAAAAGATAACACAAATCTCTTTGGAAGTCTGTTTATTTGTACTGTACATTTTTGTCCAAAAAGAAAATCAAGGAGTTGGTGAATTTCACATATAAATTTGAACAAATAACAGCAAAGAATTAAAGATCTTTAGCCAGAACAGGGTACCCCATGAACTTTCAGTACAGAATCATCAGTCATCTCAGATAAAGTGTAACCTGAACCTTCATTCCAGTTTAAACTGAACTTCATGAAGACTTTCAATGTTCAATTATGTTTTCATACAGAAATTATGTGAATTAGAACATCTACAACTAGAAAACTAAGGAAAAAGATCGATTTTTCATGTTATTTTAGAAAAAAATGAAGTTTACTAATTTCTCTCTAATTCTGTCTCCCACTCTCCAACAAAAATTAAAGCAAATAGGATGTGAATCTTCCAGGTAATAGAAAATAACACAAAAACTTGTTTGTCTACTTCCGTTCCCTTCTGTTTCCCTTGCCTTGCCTTGCCTTGCCTTGCCTTGCCTTGCCTTGCCTTGCCTTGCCTTGCCTTGCCTTGCCTTCCCTTCCCTTCCCTTCCCTTCCCTTCCCTTCCCTTCCCTTCCCTTCCCTTCCCTTCCCTTCCCTTCCCGCCCCCTCCCCCTTCCCCTTCCTTTCTCTTTCTCTTTCTCTTTCTCTTTCTCTTTCTCTTTCTCTTTTTCTCTTTCTCTTTCTCTTTCTCTTTCTCTTTCTCTTTCTCTTTCTCTTTCTCTTTCTCTTTCTCTTTCTCTTTCTCTTTCTCTTTCTCTTTCTCTTTCTCTTTTTCTCTTTCTCTTTCCCTTTCCCTTTCCCTTTCCCTTGCCCTTGCCCTTGCCCTTGCCCTTGCCCTTGCCCTTGCCCTTTGCCCTTGCCCTGCTCTCTTCCCTTCTTTTTTCACAAGGAATTGCAAGTGCCTATATAAGAATATCAGAATTTACCTAAAATATACTGCTCAGTATAAGGACTTTTCCATCCCTAGAACCATACAAATGTTGAGTTGATCATGGACTAGTGCTGTGACAGGGGGAAATTGCCCTTGCCATTTCTTACCTGAATGTCCTGGCTGAGCTTTTCAACTATGCCTATTATGGTCTGTATATGGTTCTGCAGTAGTTCTCGAGCAGCAGTCTCTCTGTGCTGAAAGCCTGTGGTTTCCTGGAGGTAGGAGATAATGTCATTCTTGATTCGGAAGGCCTGATGGAGGAGGAAGGCTGTGGTCCTCTCCTGGCTGGAAAGCCACCCCTCCAGCAGATGTGCCTTGTCTCCAGGACCAGGAGCAGGGGATGGGTCTCTCCTGCGAACAGCCAAAACCCCTGGTGTTGTGGCAACCATGGAAAGAAAACCAAGGGAATTGCATGGAGCTATGTCAGGGGAGGTCAGGATGGCTCCTAGGAAAAGGTTCTTTTCTGTGAACCTTTTCTGTGATCTTTTGTGGTCACAGCCCTTAGCTGCCAGCACACAGCAGCACACACACAGCAGTGCTCATGTTCGGTTTCCCTTCGCATTACTTACACCTACCCACTGGGAAGAAATTTGCAAAACTAATGGTTTTCTTACAACCATCCCAGACTTGAATATAACCAGTGCAACTGCATATAAATATAGAAGGAAGGGAGAGAGGAAAGATGTTGCACGGAACTGAAATTGGCAGGTACAGAACAAAACTTAATTTAGACAGGAACAATCTGGAGCTTGAAGAAAACTGGAATTTTGAGCTACTTCTGACTAAAAAGGCAGAGAGAAATTTAATTTCTGTAGAACCTCAAGTTTCTGTGTTATCCCAAAATTCTTTTTTTCTTTTTTTTTTTTTTCTTAATTTAACCTATATGTCATATTTATGCTTTCAATGCTGTATGAAATATCCTGATATCAATTTATTTAACATTTGTAGCCTAGCAATGAATAAAAATATTCAGCCTTTTCAGAAACAAACCATACATCTTATTCAGCAACGATAAAGACATCCTAGAATGTATTTGCCTTGTTGCACTCCTATGCTGCAACATCTTAGCGAAACAGGCATTTGGAGTGCTACCAGGTCTAGGATCAACAGATAAACTAAATTTTACCTTGGGGGTCCTGGGTGGTGCAAAGAGTTGGTTTTTATGTACCTTATGAATCCCTTCCAATTCAGGATATGATTCTACAGCTCCATGTTTTCTCTGACTGGCAGCTCTTAGACTGCTATAAATAAAAGTTTAAATGTAAAAATAATTTTTGAAAAGAAAGGAGAGGAGAATTCAGCTGCCATACTCAATCAATGCACAAAATGCAAAGATGACAGTTTAATGATTGAAATGTGCCCAAGGATACTCTGCAATAAATTTTACAGCCATATGGGTGACTGTAATAACATTCTGCAGCTGGCTTATGTCTGCATGCACCAGGAGTGGCTTTACATTTGTCTGTGCAATTCGAACTTTAAAATAAAAATTACCTTTGGCAGCCCTGAAGCACCAATAAGATCTGAACAATTATTTATGTACCGTCTTGGTAAGAGCTCTAAAAAACAAATTGAAGTTTTGTGTGCTTAGGCAATTTTCAAAAGCATCACATTTGTTAAAAAAAACACCATAGAGAAAGGAAAAGGAAAAACAGAATGTTCTGTTGGTCAATAATTGTGTGAGAATGTAAGTTCAGTGAAGCCTATTGATGAGCAGCTGACCCTCCAAGGCTAATCTCAAGAGTCAGGCTCGGGGTCTGGTTATGACATGAGCATGATTGCAGCCTCTAGCATATATAGAGCCTAAAATAAGTCTAAGTTGCAGGGTTTTTTGCTTAAGAACATGCAAAGAACCAGCTTTGTGCATAACGGCTCAGCTGGTGCAAAGTAACCCACCAAGAAATTGCAGTAATCTGATTTGAGCCCAAGCAGGAGCTGCTAAAGGCTTTAATGTGTGATCCCTGAAGCTCCAGTCCCCTAAAGCTCTTTTTCTTCTTGTCTGACTTGCAGATGTTTTCCTGCTGAGGAGTCCCAGGGAATTCCCCTCAGACAGAGCATGTTGAATTTCAGCTTCTTTGCCAGTCAGTACCACATTCAGCTTAATGCAGCTTACACGCACACTCCTGGGTAAGTGCTTGTCTGTGTGTGGTCTGGCTTTTCTTGCAGTTCTGCTGGATCTCTTCATCCACTGCATCCTGACTTCCCTGCTGTGCAAGGGCAAACCAGCCCGCTTGCTGCTGTGACTCACAGCTTAATATTTGTCTAGGCTCATGTTTCCTGAACCTAGCCTGCTACAGACAAGTCATACTCATATGAGAAGAATTCCCATTCTTGCAGTTTACAAATGAAATTCCAATTAAATCACCAAACAGAATTGTACCACAGAACCAATAGGGACCAGGTACAACAAGCTGGTATACAACTGAGTGTGCACAGCCCTCCCTGCACAGGTTGCTGAGCTGGTTCAGTGACTGCTGTGGTCACAAAGGAAGGGCCTTGCTGTTTCTCCCTTCTTTCTTGCTCATTCACTTGCTCCTTTCCTTGCTCTCAGTCTCCTGGTCCCATTTTTGTGTTTTTTGCATACTTTAAGATGGCCATTGTGCCTACTAGGCATTTTTGGGTTGACTACACTTGTTTATACAGCGGAATATTGTTCCTTTTTTAGTTTTTGCTTATTGGCTAAATTGCTCTTATCATCAGGTGAGTGTGTCAGACTTGCTTCCAGTGGGTTCCAGACCAGCATGAGGGGAAGAGCTGAGGAGGCAGTGAATGAAAGAGAAAGAAATCTCTTGAAAAATAGTGGTGAGCCAACAAGCTAATGAGAAGTCTTGCTGCCACAGTCAATGTCCCAGGTGCCTCGTGAGAGGCCTGAGGATGCCTGTCACAGCAGCACCCAAATGATGTGGGATTTGGGCCATTACTTATCACTGACCTAGGAGCACCAGCTGCCCCACCCCAAGGAAGCTGTCAACAGCTTTGAGTGATCTCTCAGTGCCAGCATCTGGGAGCATGGGATGGAAACTTCACGTGATCTTCCATAAATATCTTCCTCCCTGTTACGGGACTTTGATTATAATCTGTCACTTCGCATCATTTTGAATGCTTGCACGCATGAGAGCAATAAAATACTCTCAGTTCTCTGTCCATTTGGGCAGATTTGCCAAAGATTGAGATCCATTATTAAATCAACTTCTGCTACAAACCTAGTTGGCCTTTTAATTTAAATTTAAAACATTAGCTTTGCTTTTATTTTGCTTCTGTAGAAATGAAAATAGAGTTAAGAATCCAAGACACTTGGATTTGTTAATGACTTCCTCAGAAAAGCTGCATGCGTGCGTGCTGCAAACTAACCTTGCAAGGTCTGAGTATGTCATTTATTATTATCAACCATAATTAACCATTGGGAGGAGAAGCCGGGACTTTCAGTTTTCTTGGACTTCTTACCTTACAAGCACTACCACCATTGCTCCTGCACAGACTGGGATGCTTTCTGTAGGCTGAGCTATCTCCTGTGGAACTCAGAGCCAAATCATATGCTTTGCAGCATATGTAGGCTGAGGATGCTGGGCTTGTTCAGCTTGGAGAAGAGAAGACTACAGGGTGACCTCATTGCAGCCTTTCAGTGCTTAAAGGGAGCTACAAACAGGAGGGGAGTCAATTCTTTACAAGGGTAGATAATGACAGGACAAGGGGAAATTGTTTTATGTTGAAAGAGGGAAGATTTAGCTTGGATATCAGGGGGAAGTTCTTTACTCTGAGTGTGGTGAGGTGCTGGAACAGGCTGCCCAGAGAGGTTGGGGATGCCCTGTCCCTGGAGGTGCTCAAGGCCAGGTTGTATGGGGCCCTGGGTAGGCTTGTCTAGTATTAAATTTGGAGGTCAGTGCCCCAGAGGGTTTGGTGCTTGATGATCCTTGAGGTCCCTTCCAACCAAGCCATTCTATGATGCTGTGATTCTATGATATGCAATGCTCTCATCTATAGGTGAAGTGCTTACAGTCTAAAGGTCTGAAGAAGCCAGCAGAGATGCTGTGAGGAAACACCGAAAGACAACTGATTAAGAGCTTCCTGATCCTGGATGAGCTCTGAACAGTGTGTTGTACTTTGTGTTCCTGCAAGACTGAAAAGCCACAGGGAACTGTCTGTGTCAGAGGGCATCCTCAACCCAGAACCCACGGAATGAATGTTCAAAGGAAAGAAGGGAACTAAGTGGGGACACAGAACCAGTTGAGTTAGACTGGGCCTGAGGAGTAATAGGAGCAGAAAGTGATAGGAGAGGTGCCCTGTGTCCTGCTGCTCTCCTTGCATTGAGAAGAAGGATTAAAGCAACCCCATATCACAACTCCAGCCTCTCCTCTGCCTTTGATGAGCATCACTGAGAGATATAGATATATCTGTAGTCCCCGTGAAAAGAGTCTTCTCTCTTTGGGAGAGAGAAAACCAGGGCATACCATTGTTTTGCCACAGGCTGTTGGAGGCCATGCTTTAACTTCTGGTAGAAGTCCACTCAAAAAGCTGCCCTGTGAACAGGCTTCCCAAAGCCAGGTGTCTCACACACACACACTGAAGTAACCCCTATTCCTTTCCACATTTCCTGCCATCTTTCACAAGCCTCCATCCTTGCCTCCAGCTCCACCATCCCCTGTGAAGCTTCCCTCTCCTGCCATTACCCAGATGTAAAACCCCATTGCCACTTGCACAGATGGCAAGTTTTTGTGCTCCTGCTTACTGCTGCTCAGGAGACCAAAATAGAATAAAATACATAATAAAATAAAGAAAAATAAATGACCCTTTCTTCACACCAAAACCAGAAGTAACATTTAACTTTAGCTCTACACGGCTACTGATTCTCTTGAAATCTGCAGGAAAATCAAACCTCTGAACTCTAAGACTCCAGTAGATCTATCTGAAGTGCCTGAGGAATTCAAAAATCATAAAATGAACAAAGAGGGAGAAGTGGAACAGCCTCACACACTTCATTGTTCTGTGGAATCAGGTTAACTGCAGTGCGGAGGCACTTGTAGGGAAACACTGCACATCAGCAAGGAAAAGATTCAAATCACAGAGTCATGTAGAGTTCCTTCAGTTGGAAGGGACCATTAGAGGTCATCTAGTCCAACCCCCTGCAATGAACTTCTAGATCAGGTGCTCAGAGCCCCGTCCAGCCTGCCCTTTGATGTCTCAGGTACAGGGCATCCATTGCCTCTCTGAGCAACCTGTGCCAGTGCCTCACCACCAGTACTGAAAAAACCTTGCTTATACTCAGTCTAAATCTCCCCTCTTTTAGTTTGAACCCATTTCCACCTATTCTATCACAACAGATCCTGCATAAGAATGTCACCTTCTTTCTTACAGTCCCCCTTCAGATACTGAAAGGCCACTCTCAGGTCTCCGCACAGCCTTCTCTTCTCAACCAAACAGCCCCAGCTACCTCAGCCTGAGGGACCCTCACAGTTGAAGTATTCCATCTCTCCAATCATTTTTGTGCTCCTCCTTTGAACATGTTCCATAAAGTACATGTCTCTAAGGCAAATA